AAGAACGGTGCATATGAGTGTCCGACGTGGTGTGCAATATTTGTGAGCAAGTTGGAGATCCGTAGGATTTGTTTGAACAAAAATATGAATTTTTCGCGATTTTTTGAACTTCAGTACAGCTCAGATTTTGGGTGCAAACTTAAGGTGGATTGAAGCTGGTGCGAACTTTCGCATACCATTTTGTAGAGCTTGCTTTGCTCTATCGAATGCTACCTCTGTCTGATGTATATGCATTAGGTTCCAAGAAATAGCAGATCTAGTTTGAAAATGTCTCAGAACTTTCGAGCCAACCTAATATATATCTACCATACCTGCATTGGAAAAGAAAGCTCTGAGATATACTGAACATGTCCAGGTTTTATGAACAGACAGCCTATGAGATACTTTGTGAAGTATAGCCACATTTGTTCTCATTAGTCAAAGAAATTCTAGCACTTCGCCAGAAAGTAACAGTCACGTGACAGCCTCTCATCTTCTTCAGAAGATGCCGTGCCATGACCATTGCTCCGAAGTTCATCACAAATAATGGAGCAGGAGTTACATGCAACCTGCCCAGAAGATCATCCAAAAATAAAAAAGTTATACCAGAATGTCTCTGCCGTGGTTATCAAGCAGAAATAAAATTTGTTATACTCCTCTCTACTCAAATATGAAACGAGGGAAGGAGCATGTAGACGATTAATGAACAACGAAAGCTGAAAGAGGATTAAGAGAAAGTCTAAGCAAATCTGCGCTGGTATGCGGTCTAACATCAAATTTACACTTTATAAAAATTCGAGAGACTTTTGAGTGAACAAAATAAAACCCACAAAACACGTTGCGCGCCTGTCACAAATACAAGATCCGGTCAATTATCAGGTGCATCAACGGCCCAATTGACAGGATATCATGGTTTCGCAACAAAACTGTCGGCCACTTCTCGAAAAAAATTCCCTCCCATCTGATAAACACTAGACATTTCTTGACCGACTGCGACGTAAATTTTGACTAAAGTTGCATCATCGGGTCATTACACGTGTCGTCGTTGTACACCAATGTCTCCAACAGCGAAGCACTAGAGGCTCTTTCCGAGATGCTTGATGAGCACAGTGCAAGTATGTCGACGTATGGACTCAGTTAGGCGCGACTCATAACTCTCTAAGGGGAGGGTCTCAAGTGCAATTAACAAGTGTTCTGGAGACTTCTGTTCACAGGTAAGAGGATGTCAATGGGTTAGCATTAGTGCCCGTGCTGCTAGATGCTTTATGAGCAAAATAGAGAAGCCGGTGTTATCTAGAAAACTACTTATGTAGTGCAGATACATAGACGGCCGTTAATTACATCAACTCAGTTCGAAATGGACTAGTGTTTTGCAGTATTAAATTAACAATCCCAGTATCAACACACAACTGATGTTGGCCGGTAATACAATACATATATGGTAGCTGTAGACAGCTGTAAGAACATCCTTTTACATGCCAAGTCCGCCCACCCGATTGCCGTTAAACGTGCTATCTTGCATAGTATGTTCCGAACGGCGACTAACATCTGCAGTGGTGAGAGTGAACGACAGAAGTCTGGAGTGCTGGCGTCCGCGACAGCAGCCTCAAACGGCTACTGTTCGGCCAGGTCCACACGTATTCGAAGGGCAACTGCACAATCTGATGACGATCTAACATAATTCCTCTCTGCTTACCATTCGTCTCAGACAGGGTAACACACGCACTACGAAGTCGTTAGATGCGAGCGCAGCTGAAACGTGATGTCGTCCTCGCCAATATACCGCGGAATAACATCAGAAATTGACTCATACGTCATAGATTATACGATATCGCCTGCACGTTCAAATGCTGCGTTATTTGCCCTTACGGAAAACAGGGAGACTGTGTAAGAACTGGAGCAGTATACGGGCTTGAATGCCTAGACTGCCACGCTACCTATATTGGCGAGAACGGGCAGCCACACTACACGAACATCTAACGAGTAAAAGGGAAAGCATAACAGCCCGTTAGGAAAAAAACAAGAAAGTTGATCACTGCGAAAATGTTTTCATGTTGAGTGTACAGTCTTAGCTTTAAAAGTAGAATATTCGCTCGCAGAGAGTTGGCAGCGTCATTCATTCTATCAAGGGAACCCAAAATGAATGGCAAAAATGAACAATACTCTATTACAAGTGACCTCATGCTTCTACCGTAGTGCCAGCTATAACGCCCACATTATATAAGCAGATCCTTAGTAGGACTGCCTTCATACTTCCATCATCTGTACGTGAAGCTAAGCACCGCCGTCGCAGCGTGTTGCAGGGCTTGGCAGGAGGTTGCATTTTGGGATTTCAGCCCAAAATTTTTACGACTTCCTCATTGACCCCTATTTTTGACCCGTCATTTTGTGACGGACAGGTATATGCAAACAAAAAGGACTCAGCGCTTACTTTAAACTTCAAAACACCTCACAAACTTCTCCACTGACTTTGGCAAATTTTGGACTTTTCGCTTGCCCTGCTGTAACCATAACCTGTTCGGTATGCTTTTCCAAATTCTACATCCTGCATAAATATACATTAGCTTCTATTCGAAAGAGCGTGATACCCAAAAAAGCACAAAATTTCACAATAAAGCAGAAATTATCTTTAAAACTGCTCGTAATGTGACGAAAAGTGGAGACAGAGATAGGTAAAAAGTAATATCACTTTATTCAATTCAACAAAAACACAATTCACTACATTGAGTTGGGGGAGCCCTAAAAAAATAGAACGCCAACCAATGTAGCGTCGTTCAAGAGATCGGCTTTACCGTGGCCTCTTTTTAAAAAGGAAAACCGAGGCTACATGGCTTAACATCGCTGGCTAAACAGCGGGAATTCATTGAAGTTAGTTTCTTGTATTCTCACATACCAGTTGAGGTCGAGTGCGGTGATCAGTGGTGTTCTAAAAACATGGTTGAAAAGACTTATACGCAGGCCTCTTTGCGCTTTCCATTCTTTTGAAACTAACCTATGACATGCTTTGCCAAGATCTTTATTGGAAGAGTCACGACTGCGTAAACGTGTAAGAGACATGACAGCAAGCAATCATAAATCGTCCACTTGAAAGTAAGCAAGAGCCTGCAATAAGATTTCACACGCTCCTATATCTTTGACACAGAAACAGAGGAAGAGATAGAGAGGAGAGAGAGAGAAAGGAAAGGAGTGGGAGGGAGGGAAAGAGAAACTCGTTTACTAAATTCTTGTGTAGAAAAAAAAGGTATGGGCCACGTTATTTCACTTAACTCTAAATATTTTGCTCCATTCCATTACGTTTCGTTACTGGAACACCACATCGTCGCTAGGGACGATGCTGAAAGCTTGCGTGGGATGGACAATAATAGATCTGCAATAGTGACGAAGCTGCCATCTCAAAATATTGGGCAAAAAAGTATGCAGCAACAGTAAATTTGAATGAATCCATATCTGCGCAGCATGTCTGAAGCTGCCTAGCCACTAAGACGCTACGTTTTACAAAGAATTTAAGAAATTATAGTGCTCAAAATCTTGTATGGTACTGATAGGTAGGTCTCAAGTGAGCTATCGCCTAAACAGCAGCTAAATTATTGGTAAGAAATTTTTGTACCCACTTTGGCCCAAATGGTACCTCTTCTGCAAAACCATTGTGAGCTGCCGCTTAGACTGATAGCTACTCTCAATCAGCATCCATCTAAGAAGCCCAAGCATTACTTGGCTGAAGGGTCTACGAAAGCCTTCACAAAACAAATGAAATCTTGTCAGGAAATCCGCAAGCAATCAAGGAAAAGTCAGCTAGATGAAAACTTTAGCAAATAGCTACTCACCTCGGAGTAAAAGCATACGTAGATTTTTACAGAAGTGAGCTGCAACGATGAGCTTTGCATCAGTACTTGTGTATGCAACGTAGCAGGGCTCACTTAGCATCTAACTCGATATCACACTTTGCCATTTTCGGACCTGTAAAGAACATAAACAAAACTGAAACTTGTGACAAAGAAAGTCCTAAACATCAAATTTCCCATCATCTTAGTCTAGATAACAGCGTAACAAATCATCCACCGTCACTTACAGATTTGGAACAAAAAACAGGCCTCATTCTTCATTCCATCATTGTGTTCTCCAGCTTTGGACGCCTCTTCAGTTTTTTTCCTTCTCGCGCAGTGCAGTTTGCCTCTGCTCAATCAGAAATCTGAAATGGAAAGATGACAAAGATTGAAATCACCAAAAGAAGGAGTACGAGCATAGCGTTGAAATGTGAAACCAGAATTCAGTATAAAGATTTGAAGTCTTGTGACAGTCTAACGAGGGTCTTTGCCGGTCTAACGAGGGAAGTACTTTTAATGGCCGTGGCTATTTGATATGAGATGCATACCATCTGAAGCAGCTTCGAACGCTGATTTCAAATCTTCCTTTCGTTTCTGCGGAACGCTCTTCTGAAGAGAGTTATGGAACCCTGAACATTCTATTTTGGGGGCGCTCTTTGAGTTTAAGTCAACAAAGTGTATGCACCACGAAAGTATTGGAGTCGCAAGAAAACTAGCCGACTGGATCTTGTAAACTACACAGTGACCGAAAACGGAGAAACTTTGGAGCTTTGGTTCAATTTTGTTATTCATTTTTACAACAGTGCAAACAACACTGTTCGAGTTGTACTCGAAGAATACGTCTTATTCGACCCATTCGACCGACTGCATCATTCAGTAGAAATCACAGCCCACGAAGCTCAAGATAGCGCCCTCCAGCTGATGCAAATGATTAGAGACAAGAACAAACTCTTTTTTGAAATAGCAAGGGTAATGGATCGCATAGTAGACGCTTCTTCGATCCTAGGTGCATATGTCATGATGAAAATTGATGACAAATGTTTTATTTCTGTTCTCTAGCGATCTTATAAAGGACTACAGTCATGAATGTTAAACTTTGTTCTTTGCCCTATTCTAGCTGAGGTTTGTATCCATGATACTTCTTTGCATTAGCTCCCCTACTCCCTCCGGTCTTACTTTATATGTGGTCAGATTCACATGTTCTCGCGCAACAACAGCCCTTATTCCTCCGCCAGAGGTCGGACTTCGGTTTCTCGTCCAAAAGCAATCTCGAAAGTCCCTCGTCAAACTGCAACTCTCAAAGTTTTGCCACAGATCGCGAGCCCAAGAGTGCCATTAAAAGCGATCTCAAAGCAAGCTGTGTAAGCTATTTAATACAAAAGCTTCTCCACCGCTCAGCTGCTAAATCACAGGAGTCGAAGATTGATTTTGGAGGAGCCAAACGCATCGCAAGCCACTTCGACAGGCGTACGACAGGAGCACATCGTAACTCAGGAGGAGCAAATACCACCCGGTCGGAAACGTTTTCAAAGTTGTGATCAGTGGATGTCTTAATTTAAGGAAGCGCATACGAGCGGCGGGAATTCGTCTTTGAAGAGAATTCGATGCAAATGGAAGAACTTCCGGAGTTGCCGTCATCGCTATTTGATTGTGTAGCAAATGGGGAACTACGCATGGAACTAGCTGCGAAACTGATGCTGCATCGCACTAATAGTGGGACATTTAATTACGCTGCGTACGATGTACGTATTTCATGGTGATAGATAGTGACATGCAATAAGAGTTTGCTCAGGAATTTGTCAGCTCAAATGTGGCTGCACGAGCGGTTTCGCGCTACGATGGATTGGACGGTTTTGAGGCTCCACATATAGTAGGCTGCAATTTCATGGCGATGAGACTCTTAGTAAGTTCCAGAAACAGATGTATAAACATTTGATGTATAAACAAGCAGGATAAAACATGTTAGGGCCGACATCGGGAAAGCCCGAATGATGAAGATAGTGCGTCAGAATGAACTAGCCGAAAAGAAGGACGATTCAGTGATGCGCAGGGCCCAATTATGTTTGAGAAACTGTCAGAAGCCCTGGAAAATCTCTGCCAACCCTCCTTTCGTGAAGGTATATCTACAATAGTTCGGTGTTCTGCTACTATCTGACTTTTTGCTAGTTGGATATTATGAACCTCGTGATGGGGAAGTGGAATCCGAGAAGAAAGGACAACACCACCCAGAGCCTCACATCTCTGTATCGTTTCCTTTTACAGCAGGTAACTGTCGTAATTGTAGTATTAGGCTGGAAACTAAGTTTTGCAACTGGTTTCATAACTTCACTCTCTTTGGATATGGCGCACTCAAACTTTGGCATTATGTAGAAGGCAATGTGAGCTATAAGTGAGCACAAATTGTTTAAGTTTTGAACACGAAAAAGAAAGGTTTCAGGCGTTTTATGAAAACTAGTAAAATTTGAGAATTTTTGGGGTTTCGGGCTAAAATGAAGCCTTTAACACCTTAGACTATGCGCAGAAATCCGGATTTGTCTAAAAATTATTGGTGGAGGTTGACTCCTTTGGCCTAGTAAGAAAGAAACAAAATTTAGGGGCATGTCGAGATTTGGCGTCCTCATAAAGTCGAACGAGTCGATGTACGCAAGAGCTGCTGGGGACGACCGTCAATGACTAAAGAGTCCAAAGCTCAAATTCCGCCGAGACTTTACATAGTAAGGTTATTTGACCTGCCAAACGCGGATATCATATTCATTTGTTAAATCAACGCCGTTTTCCCTGTTTAGGGTGAGAACCCCATATCGTAACCTACAGTAATCCTATAAAAAAGCCCTTATCACACAATTTCACTATCGTTTTCGTGATCAGCATGTCGGATAACACCCCTATGCCAAGTTTCAGCCAAATCCGTCAAACTTTGAATTTTTCGCCTTCATACCATACACCTACCGTAACCCTTACTGCGACATCAGAATTTGGTAGGACAGCGGCTGCGCTTGTAGCTTACGTAGTAACCAACACAGTGGCAAAATTTGAGTGCGCCATGTTGAGTAAGAAGGAAGTTATGAGACTAGTTGCAAAACTTAGTTTCCAACGTAATAAATGGTTATATGAAACGCAATTTATATATTTTTTTAGATCACCAGCCCCCCTCAGCGAATTTAAGAATATTCGCTGAGGCTGAATGGAAGAAGCGGCAGAGACGCCAAACTCAAAAACCTCCCCGATGAGATTGAAACCACCTTGATCGGTATGCGGCTTTTCGGATAAGGAAGTCTTCTACTTTTTTTGTTCAGATTTTGCTGACGATATGATGGGATACGGGTACGACGAACTGCTACCAGGCGCGGTTGTGGATTTTGAAAACTCGGAGTAAGTAGCGTATCATTTCGTCCATGTTGTCTTTTCATCAAGTTTTATTCATTGCAGATTTTACGCTAGTCTTGGCACAGACGAAGCCGAAAGAAAGCAAAATTTTGATCAGGCTTCGCGTGAGAAAATGCGGTGGCGTCCACAGCTCTTTAAGGCCCTGCAATTCGCACTGTGCGTAGTCAATTCTTACAGGTTATAACGCAGCCTTAGTTGCTAATATATCAATTTCAGACAAGATATTAGGTTCTATACGTACAAGGAAAGCGAGTCGAAATGGATACCGCATAAGGTAAAATTGTTTGCTGTGACTACCTATTCATTGCTGATGAGTGAAGTTCTGCGATAGCAATATTTTTGACTTATATATTTTTATTGCATGTACATGATGCCATTCCGTTATATATGTATTTGATTGTACACATTTGATCCACATTCTCATCATAAAGTGTCTTTTAAAGCTTTAATTACATAATTAATAAAGGTTTGTTGAAGTTGTCCAGTCATTTTTCTGCAGAAATAAAGTTTTAAAAGGTTTAGTCCGCTGGAAGTTTAGCGGTTCAAATATTGGTGCGCGGGTCAATGATTAGAACGAAGCTGCGAAAATGCTGACCATTCGCGTGCCAAAATAGCAGCCATCCGCGTGCAAGAAATCGCAGCCGCTCGCGCGCTTAAAATCGCAGCCATCCGCGGACGATCATGCAGCGGCGCGGGAGTCAATAGCGCGCCATCCGCAGACTGGATGTCGCGCCACCTTGCAATTGCGCGCGCGCTGCACGCACCGAGTGTCTGAGCAGTGGAGGTTCGAGAGATGTTTACGAGGCGGGGGGGGGGGGGGAAGGGGAGGGAAAGGGGAGGGGGGAAAGGAGTTCTTTGTGTGAGGGGGCATGGCTCAAGCCGCGCCGTGAAAAAATTTCACGGAGTTAATTTGAATGTTCGAGAACTTCAAGAAACTATCATTAGTAGCAAAAAGTCACTTGCGCAATTTTCACTCATTCCTGTAAACTTGTCCTTCGAAGGACGATCACAAATTCTTAAAAGTTCAGTGAATTTGTGTGATAACGCCACAAAGGCTGTAAAAAGTAGTTTTGCTGTAAAAATACTTGAATCCACTGCAAAAAGGTGTACATGTAATACCCCCACTGCTAAAAGGTCGAACTCTGATGGTTTTCATGATTGCAAATTCATTCCAGGCTTCAATTTGTTAAGAATAATGACATCGCAAAAAATTTATTATCAAATCTATTGAAGAAGTCATAGAATCCGAAATCTGCTTCGAAGAGCTAGACTTTGCTTCACATTACGGATGTTTGCTGGCTTTGGAAAGTTGAAATAAGTAAACAAGCGAACAAGTACACAAACAAATAACGAGCGGTATTATAAGTAAACACGTGCCTTGGATTCCATCCGTTCAGCTTTTTCTCGCTCTTGACGTGCTTCAATGACTCAAACTCTAGTAAAACCTACGATTTTGTGCTCCAAAGAACAAGTCGCCAGCGCGCGGGAACTCAGAACGGAGTTTTGATATGTTGAAAATAACAAATTAAGTCCGTTTGCAACGCACAAGTAACGATACGGCACGAAATTTGGTCTATAGTGAAGCAATAGGGAGAGCAGGAATTGTATGAAAATTTATGAAAAACTTATGTGAGTTTGGAAAATGGTAAGAGATTTTCCAATTTAGGTTGCCCCCGCGCAACCTGTGAGCAACCTGGGGTGCTCCCTGCTTTTTCTCACATAATTATTTAGATTTCTTAGTACTCTGCGTTGATACCACTGCTT